AAAAGAAAAGAAAAGAAAAGAAAAGAAAAGAAAAGAAAAGAAAAGAAGAGAGGAGCTAAATAAATAAATAAATAAATAACAAGGTAGGGACACCTCCCCCCTTCCCTCAACATGCACACACCCAAATCATAAAAACATAAAGCTCTAATTGGAAAGCTTCCATCATCTGAGTACTTGTTTCCTGGCATATATGCAATGATCAGTGAGGAAAGCAGGGTCAATTGAGACAGACTGAGAGTGAAATTAAAATAATAAAATGTCTAAACATTTAACTGCAAATAGGAAATCTTTATACCCACCCACACCCTATTCTGTAGCATAAAACTAAGGCAACAATTATTCATATACCTCGAAGTAATTTGCAGCCTCCATACAAAAATCTCATTTAAAATAAGAAATTGCTATTTCTGCACATTTATTCTCCCCAAATGCTGGCTAATTGCTGCAATGGCCATTATAAAGAATAATTTTCGATATGTGGAAAAAAAAAAAAAAAAAAAAAAAAAAAAACAAGAAAAAAAAAAAGGAATGAAGAGAACATTTTCTGGTTTTGTTCCTCTGCGAAGGCTCTATTCAGCGAATCCTGAATGCACAGCGTTTCACTGCTACATTTATTATGCTGAGAGGTCAAGTATTACACAGCATCTTGTATTACGCTTTGCATGCTAAGTATTTCACTTCACAAATTGACCCTTCGGTGTACTTACTACATAATGCTCTAAAAACCCAGCTAAAACGCAGGACAATTAGCAATACTTTGGCTCCCGCTTAACAATGGGGACACCAATGTAGGTGATTGCATTTACAGTGTTGCTTTCTTCACAAAACATTTTTGACACATTAAAGGTACTTCGGAATTGTGCAGTACCAGTCGCCTCTCTCGTGAATGGCTTTTCCAGCATGTACCAAGAGAAACAGTTACTGTAGTTTAGGGCTTAATTGAAAAGAATTCAGGCACGGCCCTATGAAGCACCAATTAGAGGGATATTATATCATAAAAAGCTGTAATATCAATTTTCAGGCTTGTTCAGCAGCCAGTACAAAGTAGGGCACGGCTTCAAAAGGGCTCCTGCGCGGAGCGGGACGCCGGGAGGCGGCGAGGCCGGGGCGCGGAGCGGGGCGGCGGCTCCGCGGCCTCGGGCGGCGGCACCGCAGCTCCGCAGCTCCACACTGGAGGTCGCGGCGGGCTTTTCGCCCCAAACAGTCGTGGAGAGGGGAAAGCCTCATGGCTCCGGCAGCGCGCAGGGAGCCTGCGGGAGCGCTGCCGGCAACAGCACGCCGCCGGGACACCCCTGGGACGCGGAGAATGAAATCACCCGAAGTTGTTGGGATTTTTTTTTTTTTTTAACTATTATTATTTATAGCTGTAATCATGGAAACAAATAGAACCCTCCATTAGAGCTCCCGGCTCAGCGCGCGTCCCTGTGCTCTCAGCTCCCACCCCCCTCCTTGGCAATCCAGAGAGCGGCAATTGCCTGCGGCTCATTGTGCGGGGAAAACAAACAAACATAAACTTATCGCCCCGAAAATTTTGGATTTCTCGCGTCAAGCTGCTAATAAAACGACATTAATGGATCAGCCCCGCGAAGTGTCTCTTCAGTGGCTTTAAAGTATCTTTCGAGTGCCGCGGGAAAGCCGAGGTGCACCCACTCCCGACAGCTGCTGCCGTCTGCCCAAGCATCTCCGGGCAGGGGGCATCCCGCCTCCCACCACCGCCCATCTGATGTGGTAACAACATTTATTATTATTATTATATTTATTATTATTATATTATATTATATTATGTTATAAATTTACAGGGAGAAAACCCCAAGGGTTCCAAAACCACATGTAGAAATGGCATCTTGAAGCTGATGAAGCAAAACAAGACCAAACATCCCATGACCTTCCTAGGGCAGGGACTCCACCTGCCTTCCCTCGCCACGTGTCTGACGGAGAAGCTCTTTTCAGCCAAAGCAGGCCCTTCACAGGGCTTTCTGATGCAGTGCAGGGGCAAGACACTGGAAGGGACTAGGGGCAGTCTGCAGCAAGCTCCTCAGATACACTTGTTTGTCACCCAGGAGGATGTGGGTATCACACAAATGCATGTTCATCATGCCCTCTACCACCTCTCCACCTATGAAAGTGCTGGGAGTATCTGCAAGAGAGTCCTGAAGGCACGTTATTACTGTAGCTGCAGGATTTCTAAGGGTTACTGTCAATGGTTTTACAGGCTGGTTCGGCCCGGTTCTGTGACCAGTGGGTTGGAGGGATCCACAGATCCGCGCCTCCAGAAAAAAAGGCTATTACTGGCATGTGTATATCTCTCTGTGTTCAGTAAACCTTATAAATACTGTAGAAAGAAAACTCAAGTGGAACAGGATTTACTCATGTTCTGCACTGGTGAACTTTTAGTGTGTGAGGTATGCCTCCTGCCTGCCCTTCAGGTTTGCAATGATCTGATCCTGATCTTCCGTCACGGCCAGTGCTGAAAGGTTGAAGTCCAGTGTCAACACAACTGGAAAAGATAAAATCCTCCTATGGCTTCTTGAGATGGGGACTGCAACCAGGGTGGATGGGTACCTCAGACTGTCCAAAAGAACCATGAAGTCTTCAAATAAAGAACAGCATGGTGACAAGGCATCTGATGACTCTTCAGTCTGCTTTTCTCAATACACGTATCTATTTCTTTCTCTTTTTCTCTGTGGTGCTAGCACATCTTTAGTGCTGTCCTGGAAACACAAGTGGTGCTAGGATCATGGTAAGAGGAAGAAAGACAAGCAACATTAGGAAACTAAAGCTAAATGATGCAGAGGGAGGGGATGGTGGGGGGCAGAGAGCTTTTCAGTGAGTGTTCAGGCTGTGCAGTATCCCCATGCAATCCCAGTTCCAGTTACATGTGCTTCATGTGCTTGACAGAAGTCCTGTAAATTATAAAGCAGAATTCTTCTTCTGAAGTGAACTGATAAAATCACACATTTCGATGGAATATGGTTCCATCAGGGCTCCTCTGTCTTGCTCTTGAGACTGTCTTCATGCATAAAGCACTGTTGTTTGTGAAGAGGAAAGCTCTGAGGGCTGACAGCAGCTGTAAACTCTAGAGTGGCCCTGCTTTAGCAAGTGCAAAGTCACATGTTTTTCTTCACTAAGGGCTTTTTGGAACTGCATGTAGCAGTGAGTCATGCTTTTTGCCATGCTTAAATTGGTGACAGCTCACTTTAGGTCAGGCAACTCGATACTTTCCCATGAGTGGCCCATTGTTCAGCTTTGTCAGGAGGGGTGGCATCTGAGGGCAAACCTTCCAGCACCTGGGCACAGCCCTGCCCACCTTAGCTGTCAGCTCAATCTTCAGAATAGTTATAAACAAACAAAAGGAACCAAACATATCGGAGTGGCGGGCTGGATGTCCTTCCTCTGGGCAAAAGGATCAGGTGATGATGGCAGGAGGCAGTGTGTAATAACTATTTTCATACTCTGCTTAATTAGAAATTAGTTAGAAATTAGGGGATATTCACCATGGTCACAGACTGCAGCTGCTTTAGCTTGCTCTTCTCAGTGTATGTTAGATGGCCACAAGTACACAGTGGTGTACTTTTAGCAGCCAAATGAGTAAAATCCCTCTCTGCTGCACAGGCAGGAGAAACTGAATGAACACAGTGTGGCTTTAAGTTCAAGAGTTTTGTGTATGCTACAAAATAAGTACTTCCAGGCATCTGCTGCAAGGCTCTTGTTTTGTAGATGAAAAATAAATACTTGACACCACATCAGTATACACGTATCACCCTGGTAAGACACGTATCTTGTCTTGCATCTTGTTTGAACATTTGGATCCCTTGTTGAAAAGTGCCAGTTTACCTGAGAAGAATTATTTAAATATTGGTAGAGGCTGATTTGGACCCTAACAAGCTAGCTACATCTATTGGCAATAGCTGCAACAGACTGCTGAATGAAAAGCACCTTTGTAACACCGTGCTTGACAGAACTATGCATGTGCTGAAGAGTCCATTGAGAATTACAAGTGTTGCACAGCAGAGCTTTAAGAAAAACCATGGGGAAATATTTATGAGTGACTATTTTATGACAGCCTTATTGGAATCAAGTTTTAAAGGACATGCAAACTAGAGATATGCTGAGCATTATCAGGACTTATCTTCACTTAATTGTTTTGTTATTCTGCAAACAAGCAAAGACACAAAAAGGGGAGGATAAAAATATCCAGTAAAGAAGTTCTGTGAAGAAACAAGCTTGCAGTAATCAATAAAAGTGAAGGAAAAGACGTTGAGAATTAAATGTCCTCCTACTATCAATCAAACTTCTATATTATGTCTTTATTTTTGGTTGCTAAGTTTTTGCAACATTTATTTTAAAGTATTTCAATTACTTAAAAAGCCTTCCACAGTTAATCAGTTACAACTGATACATATTTTGGCTAAATACCTGTAATTACAGTTGTTTCATACCTGAGCCCCGGTTACTGATGTTGTGCAACAAGCAGTCCTGATTGCTGACATCAGCCCACTTAATGTTCCTGCATTTATGTGATAATTAGATAAAATCAAATAAAGACTTTCTAGTAACTTCATAGAATGCAGTAAACATATTTACTGAGATTAACACAGATCTAAAATATTATTTATGGTTTCATCTCTTTCTGACATCAAAACAGAGCAGGAAAAGCATCTAGGAATGATTACTTACTTTAACATGTGTTTTCCACCATGTAGCCATGTACAGGTCTGTGATGTGTGAGGTGAGAACTGTAGAAAGAGGTATTATTTTTTATTAGAACCACTATTTAGAATACAATTTATGATGTTATGCTTAGGACATTTTTTTATTTCTCATGTCTACCATTTCTCACACTCTTAGACCACTACTACTACAACATTAACATTGCATGTTTGGGATGCCCTAGAATATACAGATGACCAAACTTATGAGTCCATGAACATGTAGAAATGATGTTCTGTGCAGAAAAGGTGCCTCAAAGATATTTTAGGATATCAGCTTCATAAGGAGGAATAAGCAAAGTGACCATAGCAGCAGCCTCCCAGCCATAGTGGCCATCCAGGCCAGGTGCAGCCTGAGGAGGCTGGCACTTTCTCCTCAGTCTGTAGGCCAGGAGGCTCTACAGCCTGTCAGGCTGTATACAAACAAGTGGATGAACTCCAGCTCTCAAAGCTTTCTGGTCTTCCCTGTGCAAATCTTTATTTCACTGACTTGGTCACTCATCCTTGCTAAAGCCCCTTGCGTGACACACCCCATGACAGTGCCTTTTGGATCAGTTTGCACTTCAGCTTCTCTTACTCTGAGTAAGCAGCAGTGCTGCTTTTTTCCTTGACAGCTCTGACACGTATCGTAGGCATTTGCTTTTGGCCTTTAATCCCCTTACAAAAATTTCCTGCTAGCCACCTGCAAGAGCAGCTCCAGCCTACCTGGCCACTCATCATAGCGAGCACCCTGAGCTCTGGTGTGTCACTTCCCAGACATGTCCAGCAGTTAAAATAAAACAACACAGAACTTGGGAAAATTTCAAAATCACTTACTACCCATGGCTAATGCAGTAGTAGACAGAAATAACAAATTCTGCAGGTGTTTCTTCACCTCATAGGTCTTCATGTTTCAAAAGTCATCCTGTTAGCTCCTATTCTGTTCCCTATTTCTTCAATAAAATTGGACACAAATGTTTTTCATACAGGACATGGCCATTCCATTGCTTCAAAATTACTTCTGATTGTTCTTCATCAGGTAGAAACTTGATAGAGATGTGGTGAAAAATAGCTGATTCTACAGCCTTTCAGATAAAGTAATAGCATAGTGGTTTAATAAAACCAATGAGAATGTACACCTGCTTTTTATTTTTTCTTTCTTTTTTTTCATAAAATTCTTCTCATATGAACATAAACAGAGAATGACTGCGTTGGATCATGTAGGAATCTAGCTAATCCAGAATGCAGCTCCTGATCACTGATTGCTAAGATGATCAGGGGGCTGGAACACCTCCCCTATGAGGACAGGCTGAGGGAGTTGGGCTTGTTCAGCCTGGAAAAGAGAAGGCTGCAGGGTGACCTCATTGCAGCCTATCAATACCTGAAGGGAACCTACACCCAGGAGGGGAGTAAACTCTTCAAAAGGGCTGACAACAGCAGGACTAGGGGAAATGGATCCAAGTTGAAGGAGGGAAGATTTAGGTTGGATGTTAGGGGGAAGTTCTTTACAAGGAGAGTGGTTAGGCCCTGGAACGGGCTGCCCAGGGAGGTTGTGGATGCCCCATCCCTGGACGTGTTCAAGGCCAGGTTGGACGGGGTCCTGGGCAACCTGATCTAAACGTGTATGTTTGGTGGCCCTGCCAGGCAGGGGGGTTGGAACTACATGATCCTTGAGGTCCCTTCCAACCCGGGTGATTCTGTGATTCTGTGATTCTGTGGGATCAATAAACAACTATCAAGGAAAATATCTAACAAATTGGGAAAGTGTGGTCTTCACTTTCACATCTAAGCAATTGGTTGCTTAATTGGTCCCTTTACAGAGTTGTGCTGGAGTCATATTGTGGTTAAATGCCACATGCAAGATTTTTTCCCATGAATTTGTACTCCTGGCCCCACAAAGTCCTGCATCAATAAGAATATGCAATGTTTCTGCTTGTTGCTTTTAAACTTCCTACTTCATCATTTTACTGGATACCCAGTACTTTTTTCTATTTAAATTCTCCATGTAATTCTTTGGTTTCCAAGCAGAAGAATCTTAATATGTTGAACTAAGATTTGGTAAGAATCTATGTTATTCTTCTGATGGTTCTGACTTTCTTTTTCTGAATCTATTGTAGTTCTTCTATATTATTTCGTGGCAGGTTCACTGTATTGATATTATCTAATATGTGCCATCACCATATATTTATTCATTGACATAGAGATGCTTCATATTTTCTTCTCTATTTCCTGCAATAATTCCTAATGTATCATGTCCTACATTGGTCTAATATAAAAAAAAATGCAATCTTGTTGGCCACTAACTAAATACCTTGAATTATTTCTACAGCTCTCCGTGATCAGCTTGAGTATTTTAATACTTTTTACAACAGAAGTCTTTCTTCTCTCACAGCACACACACAGACTCTCACCACCCTTCTCACATCATTTTTTAGTATTCTGGAGGGATAAAAAGAATTCACTGGTAACTTCCATACTTTTCGTTAGCATAGTAAAATTTTAACATTTGTTCCTTCTTATGCTTGAAATCGAGAAACTCCCTCTTATGCCAAGATTGTTTCATTTTGGAGTCTACAGTGAAGAACCTTGTCGAAAACTTCTTGAAAATCTGCCATACACAATGTAGCCAATATATAAGCACAGATATATTTATTTATTTATTTTAAGAGATCCTGGAGTTCCTAACTGCTGTTTGTGTAGAAAAGCTGGAAGAAAAAAAAAACATTCAAATTTAGCAAAGGCATAAACAGGAACCTACACATACATTAAAAATTGTTATTTAAAACCTGTTTTGTAACTTAACAGAGCTTGGTGCTGGCAATGTAAATAATTGCATGTAATTGGTAGTACTTTAGTATTTATTTCCCTTCCTAGTCCGTATTGCTTTTATTATGAGTGGCTACTTGTAGTTAAAAGGAAGGTGCGTCTCACTGAAATAAGCCCTAAGATTTACTGGAATGGAAGAGGATTTCTGAAGTTCCTGGGCTTTGCATTTGTCCTGTGCAGAGGGCAGAGCATCAGATGCTGTAAGCCAAAATGATTTTACTATGTAAATAGATGAACAGTGTGGATTGGTGTCATTAATTCACTGTATTGAAGATAAATGTAGAGAGAGAAACAGTAGGGATATTTGTAAACATAGAGGACTTAACAATACCACAGTCACTGAAAAAAAAAAAATAGGTACATGGAATGAGAGGATGTCAGGATACTGTGCTTCCAAAAGTTCTAGGCAGCACAGCTGTTAACTACATGAGGACTTGTTCCTTCCAGAAAGAGATCTTTACCGTGTCCACATCCTGCTCTAGGTTTCCCTTTCTCTGTGCCATGTATAATACCCATGGACAGAATACCAGGAAAATGCAAGAACTGAGGTGGTCTTGGTTACTAATACTGAGTTACCAATGGGAATACTGTGTGTGCCTTGGGCCTCTTTAGTTCTGACTATGGAAGCACTGCCTGTCATTTTTTTACTAAGTTGCAGAAACATCATGTGAAATATTGCTTATATATTTTAGAAGCAACTCTGGAATGTGGGATGCAGAGAATGCATTTTTTTCATTCTTTGTTATTCCTTCTCAATTATTGCTTTTATATCCCAATTTAAAATAACAATATCTATACTTCACTGCAGCTTGCTGCTTTGATAGAGAAATGTACTTGACTCCCTACAGTTATTGCAATTGGAGGTGGATCTGATTAGGATGCTTTTCCTAATTAAGTGATATCACCTAACGTGAGTTGCCCTACCATTGTCTCATTGCAGTGTAAAAATAACAACAGTGCAGAATCATTTGGTTATTTTATTTTCCTGATTAAAATGTCTTTACTCATTCATATTTTACAGAGTAAAATTCCACTTTAATGAAAGAAAGAGGGTCAGTTTTCCAACACAGATAATTATATGTCCTCATATCCCAATCATGGTTAGGGCTCAATTTCACTGAATTCAGCAGCAGCACATCTCACTAGATCCACATGTAAGGAGAAAGCCCAAGGTGGATACGCAGCCACCAGAGATCACAGAGAAGGTCTTTCAGAGGGCTTTTCATTCACAGTCATCTCTGGGAGAAAAAGAAACAAGTCATGCCCTCCCCAGCCAGCTGCCACATATATGCAGATCTTCATGGTATGAAGGAAGTTCTTTGTCTTCATTTGAATCTCTAAGATCTGGATGTTTCAAATTAATTTTTTATGTTTTTTCCTTGAAAAAAAAAAAAAAAGTATATCATGAGAAGCTCTAGAGTTCTCTTCTTCTGTGTTCTTTTTAAAGGTCCAGCTGAGCCCATATTTGATCAAAATTCTGATCTCCTATTAAGTGCAGGTATTATCAGAGAGCAATATAAATAAAGGGAATTTTGAACATCTTTCCATATGTTAGTGACTACAAGACAGATGAGATTTGCACTTGATCTGCCTATATTTTTAGGCAACTTTATAAAGTTTATAAAGTTTAATATGAAATCTTTTTAGTACATTCAGAGTTGAAAAATATGATATGAAAAGAGATATTTCTCTAAGAGAAATAGCTGGTTATGGAAAAAGAGATTTTGTATTTAAGTAGATAATAAAAATGAAACACATACACATCTTTAGTTGCAAGCACAGCTGTTGGATGCAAATACTGTAGACCTTACAGCTCAAAACCACTCTTAAGGGAATCTTGCTCAAAACAGTCTTCAGGATCAGGCCTTGTAAGATGGAATTTTTAAGTAGAATGTTATATAACATTTAACTTATGTATAACTCATGTATCATTTGTTTCCTTGTAACACTAAAATTAATATTTTTTACATTTCTTCTGCATGCAGCACAGTTAAAAAGAAAAAAATAAAAAGAAACTTTTGTCTCTGCCCCTATGAAAGTTGAAGTAGGATTTCCTGTCTTATTCTTTTCATTCTGGCTAGTGGTGTTCCATGTAGCATATTTTATTGCTGTTCTGCTGTCTTCTGTGCCCTTGTGGCTGCATGCATCAACCTTAGTGGAAAAATTGACTTTCCTACGGTTTTGCGCTTTCTTTCTTCTACTTCCTTTCCCACTTTTGTTGTTTCTATTGATTCCATCACAATAAGTAACAAGCAAAAAAGAAGATTAGGGCAGAAAGATCTCCCCAGCCTATCAATAAATTTCCTAAGCCTTGCTAGCTGTAATTTTTCAAAAAGACTTAGAGTTACATTTACATTCAGAAAATAAAATGCGTAATCCAAGGGATCAGCTCTTTCACATTCAATAATGTGTACCAAAAATAATTCAGCTGAAGCCAGTGGCTTAAAATTTATACAAGAGAGCAGAAAACCAGACTGGTGTACAAAATGGCAAACCGTTGTCATTTCTGCCAGGCAAAAATCTCGAGAAAGACAGCTGCAAGAGTTTTGTCCAAATAAGAATTTTGATATTCAGCCAAGGAGCATGAAGAAGACCAGAATTAAGTCCCAGTATTTTCTAGATGGAAACATCTGATTGACTGCTCTGTGCTTACGATTTTTTTTCTTCAAATGTTTTTCTTTTCAGTTGTACTCATTGTACCAAATTATCTCCTCATTAGCAGAAGACAGTTTTGCTTGTTGAAAATGATAAAAAATGATGTGATTGAAGTTTCTGTTTAACAAATTTTCTTTTATGGTATATTCTCCTGAACTAAAGTCTAATCTGAGCTTTCTAAAACTCATATCAGTCTCTTTACAACTTTGTCTCCCCAAAGTACTAAAATATTTTACCTACCTAAACCATTTGAACTTTCACTAACATTTATTTGCCATAAGAAACAATAACTCCAGAGACAACTCTGTGACTACTTTAATATTCTAAGTTGGCCTCGTATCACGTAGCTCATGTTATTTACTAAAATCAATAAAAATGCCAACAGTAAAAATATTCCTTATTATCCACTGTTGATGGAATTGCCCTCAGCATTAAGAACATTGGCAACTTCACAAGCAAGCAGTGTCAAGTTCACAAATGTTTGATTGAAATACAAATGTGAATGCCACAATTGTGTTGTTCAGCTTTGAATGTCTCCTATAAAAGGAGCATTAAATAATTTGAAGTCATATGCTCTATTCTAGTTGTACATTACTGCAGAAATGAGGCTTCAGAGAAGCTAAATCGTGTTCTTTAAAATGCATTTAATTCAGCATTCAACTTTTGTAATCAGTTTGGGTGGGTTTCATTTTTCCCAAAAACAAGCAAACTAATGACACAAGGTACTTGCCTCTTAAAGTGGGAGCCTTTACATTCCCGCCTCCTAATTAATCCCATCCGCAAACTCCTTTTATTTTTGCAGTAATGGTGGCCCCTGTTCAGTTGGGTCTGGTACATTTACAACTGAAGGGCAGAAAATG